CTGAGCCATCAGCCCAGAGCCTGACGCGGGGCTTGAACTCCCGGACCGCGAGATCGTGACCTGGCTGAAGTCGGACGCTTAACCGACTGCGCCACCCAGGCGCCCCTGTTTTTTAATTTTGTTTTAAAGTGGTAAAGAATTACCACTTTAAAAAACTTAAAAACAGATAAATAAATAAAAGCTGCTTCCCACTTGACCTAGACCGTTTGGGACCACTTCACAGACAGCAGAATATCTTTAAGCAGCGAGAGATGCTCCCGGCATCTCTTCCAAGGTTTTGAACCACTACTGCCTGCTACAATGTTTTACAAAAAGTGAAAGGATAACACAAGGAAGTAGATGCATTTGCTCCAAGCTTAGGCTGCCGGTTCCTTGAGTTGCAAATACCATATGCTACCATGCTCGGTGTGTTCGGCAAGACCTTTGATAGTGGGCCCTGAATGACACAGAGATAATAATGGTTGAAGTGATGTCACTTGATTTAGAATTCACTTGCCATCGTTCTACAAGAAAGGAATGAAAACCCTTCTCTCTCTATGCTCGCACAGTCCATTTCTAACCTCAGACCTTCTTCCCCCTCTTCCTCGTCCCTTGGGTAGCATCAACTACGAGCATGGCTGCCCCAGAGCCATTTCCTAGCACGGTATTAGCCGGGGAACCTCTGTTTGGGTTGTTTTTAGGAACTCAGGAAGACAGGGTCGTCCCACAAGGAGCAGGATCAGCAGTCCTGACCCTAAAACCAGGCTCCCCTCCCCACGGGTCTGTGCAAGGAGGCATTCTAAGCGGTTTATTTGCTAACTCAACTTTATCTTAACCCATTTCAAAGATGGAGATCAATGTGAGTCCAATCCCTGTTTGAATGGCGGCATATGCAAGGATGACATTAATTCCTATGAATGCTGGTGTCAGACTGGATTTGAAGGGAAGAACTGTGAGTTAGGTAAGTAACTTTTTTCTTAATGTTTATTTATTTTTGAGAGAGACAGACAGACAGAATGCGAGCAGGGAGGGGCAGAGAGAGAGGGAGACACAGAATCCGAAGCGGGATCCGGGCTCTGAGCTGGCAGCCCAGAGCCCGGCGCGGGGCTCGAACCCACGCACGAGCTATGAGATCACGACCCGAGCCGAAGTCACACGCTTAACTGACTGAGCCACCCAGGCACCCCGGTAAGTAACTCTTTTTTGATTACTCATCGTTCCATGTTTGCCTGTGGAACCAGATGAAACTGGAAAATGTAATATTTATGTAGAAGTTTCTCTGAAAAACGTGCTCTTATTGCAGTAAAGAACTAGACACAGTGCTGTACTGCAAGCACATCTCTAGAACTCACTCAGCTTGCAGAACTCAAACTTTATACCCACTGGACAGCAGCTCGCCATTTTCCCCTTCCCTCAGCCCCTGGCAGGCACAATTGTAGTCTCTGTTTCTGTGTTTGACTGTTTTTAGACACCCCAGATAAGTAGAATCAGGCAGTATTTGTCCTTCTGTGACTGGCCTCTTTCATTTAGCATAATGTCCTCCGGGTTCATCCATGCTGTCGCATAGGACAGGGTTTCCTTTTTTAAAAAGGCCGAATAATATTCCAGGGTATGAGTCATATACTTCCAAACCTTATAAACATTCAGTTTGTCTGTGGTCACAGTTTCTTGGACGAGCTCATCTTACGTGGTCATGATGCTCCCCCCTTGCTATTATCCCTCGATGCAACCATATGCGGTCAGTCCCATTATTATCCCCATTCTGTGCAGATGAGGAAACTACGGCTCAAACGGCTCAAAATCATAGAGACAACAAATGGTTGCTGAGCCAGAACTTGAACTTCAGTTTGACCAAAACCCATGCTTCTAGCTACTGGCCACAAAACGCAAAGAAAAGCGAACCCATAAAATTGTTTGCGCTCGTGACTAAACTGTTGTCAACACAGGCCGTGGCAGTCGATTAAGTACAGAACTGAGATACGGGGAGGCCAATTCTCCCCAAAACAGGCGCTTTTTGGCACATACGAACCGCTTCGCATGGTACATTTGTTGACAAAAATCAGAGCTCGCTCCCAACTCTGACCACATGGATCACACTAAAAGAGTTACATGGCAAACCTACGAGCACTGTGCATCTTTCCTCCTTATAGTCTAGAATTTTTTTTTTTTTTTTTTTTTTTTTTTTTTTTTTTTTTGCTGAGGTTTTGGCAATTGGAGCATTAAATCCCAAAGTCCTCTCCTACTTGCTTATTATCTCTGGATGCAAGATTACTGGTATTATGGTTGTGAAAGACAGACCACGCTAATGACAGATCCTCTTTCTACTCTGAAACTCTGGAAGAATGGAGATGCAATCCTAGGGAAAGAATTTAACAGCACAGCCTACGTGACTAGGGGCAAAGAGCAGAAAATTAGCAGGAGTCTATTAAGACTTTCTAGCCATCCACCTGCCAGACAGATGAAAAAGGTATAAAACAAAATGAAAGTCACCAGCTGCAATTGTCCTGCAGAGAAAGGAAAGAAAAAAGTCGCCTGTAATGTCGTTTAGGAATCTTTTCAGCACTACAGAGAACTCCAGTGATCATCTTCCTTTGAGAGCTAGAAGATAAAAAAGAATAGAAGAAAAGGAAAAGGTGGCCGGACAAAAACATGTGAGAAGAAAAGAGTGGATGCAGGCAGATAGCCCTGGCTTGGACCCCCACCCCTCAGATTTCCCAGCGTGGGGGCAAAGCCTCCCGATCCCTGTGGGTGTGGTTCACGATCTCCGCAGCGCTTTCATTGGGAAGGTTCTAATTTCAAATTCAGACTTACCTAGATAAATCTGATCCTGCTATTATGGAAACATATGGAAATCTTTGCAGTAGTTACTCATTATCAGCTTAAATAATATAACCATTGGAGCTGAGGGAATGAATGACTCAATTAGTCTCTGTTAAAAATGAAGGGCACACTGTAGTAAAGTATAATTGAAAATAGTGGTTAGTGAGGTGCCTGGCTGGCCCCGTCAGTAGAGCGTGCAACTTTTGATCTCGCGGTCCTGAGTTCCAACCCCATGTTGGGCCAAGAACTTACTTTAGAAAGTAAAATTAAATTAAATTAAATTAAATCAAATAAGGAGCAATTTGAAAAAAACAGCATCTAGCGTTAAGTGTTCCTAAATGTCTTTAGTTTAAAATAAAGACACTTTAGGGACGCCTGGGTGGCTTAGTCGGTTGAGCATCTGACTCTTGGTTTCGGCTCCGGTCATGATCTCACAGTTTGTGAGTCTGAGCCCCATATCGGACTCTGCGCTGATGGTGCAAAGCCTGCTTGGGATTCTCTCTCTCCCCCTTTCCCAAGCTCACTCGCTCACTCTCTCTCTCACTCAAAATAAATAATAAACTTAAAAATAAAGTAAAACAAAACAAAGACAGTTTAGTGGAGGAGAATCACCCCAAGGAATGTAAACGTAAGCACAAAACTTCTGTAACACGTTCCATCGCCTGCGTGAAGCTAACGGGCCACACAGCAGAAGTGCTAAGTCTACAGCTGCCACCGTCTCAGGCCTCAGGTCCCCCACATTCTGCTTTGGTCACAGCTCTGCAGCTGCACCACCTCTGGCCCCTAGGGAGCCTCGATCTCCCCCGGCCTGCCTGATCAAGGTCTAGAAAAATCCTCTCGGCGCAGTCGGTTCAAAAACAAAGTGGGGATCCTCTCAAAAATCTCTTTATCTCAGACACCGGAGGCAAGCAAAAGCATTTACAAACTCCCATTTAAGCTGTCACTTCAAACTGATCCACAGACTGACCTCAGAGGCTGCTAAGTGGCACAGTTTATAAGAGAACCGAGGCCCCGAGTTTCTTGCCTCACCCTTGTCTCCAGAGGGGGGAAAAGGGAGATTTCCATTGTCTCAAGATCATGTTACTTGCTTTGTCCCTTGTTCATCAGGCTCCTCTCCAGAGAAAGGAGTACAAACATTTAGGGCACGCTTTCTAGTTAAAAGAATAACAATTAATTGGCTGTTGTGTCCCTTTGGTTAGAATAATGGCCACCGTGTGTCCCCATTTACACGTTACATCTGAGGCCTTTCCAGACAGATCAAGGTGTGTAAGAACTTGGGTCACTCCTGTCCCCTCTAAACAGCGTAAGAGGCATCCACCGATAGTAAGCAAGGATGGAGAGGAAAACAAAATCACAAGCAACATAAACACTCTTTTCACTCTGGGAACACATCATAGACACCACACTCTCATTTACTGAGTATTTCTGTGGGATGGAGAAAACACCTTGAGTTTAGCCGAATAAGAGCACATGCTATGGTAACCTTGCGAAATAGAACATCTTTTGTCCAAGCTTTGGTTTCACAGGAGTGAATATATGAGGGGGGATGGCAGCAGAGTAAAAGAAAGCCGGACAGGATAACTTTGGCAGTAGGCGTGCGGAAAATTAGAAAGAGGCCTTCGTGCTACCATGAAGTGAAAAGAACAGATGAGTTGAGAGGCTCAACAGATAGTCTAGAGGCACAGAGACCAGCCTCGGGACCAGGGAGAACCCATACCCAACACAGTGCCTGACATCTAAATGCTCAATAAAGCACTGATCAATGAGCCCCATAGTAACGGTTCCTTAGATCCTGGACTAGGGACGTCTCCACTGGAATTCCTTGAGCTATTATTCTATTTCCAGAATCTTGAGTCCCTTATCTGAGAGCAAAAGACTGCCGATTGGACAGCACCACTTCCCACTGCACATACAACCCAAGCCATGAAGAAAAATGGCAGATGAGGAAAACAGGAGACAGGTCTAATCACTTAGCCAAGGACACAGAAGCAGAATTGGGAAAACCACACGGAGTTCATTCATTCCCGTTGTGCGGGGCCCGAACCAAACTAGGCCACAGCACCTACCACCTACCTCTGTTGACTTACCCCAATGTCATATTGACTGAACACTTTCTACAGGTGGTATTTGACTTGGCTGAACACTTTAGCATTGCTTTGTAGCAACAAAATGATAGCCAATAACATGAAAAGGGCCAGGGATGTAATCACCACGAGTGAGGAGAAAGGTCTTTGAAAACTAAATACAAAGGACCAAGTGCCATCTTTTTGGATCATGCACTTAGTGGATTATTGGCAGCAAAGGTTAAAGCTCAAGCTGGTTCCTTTGCCTCCCTGGCAACAGCTGATTTGCCTCCCCTTAATTCCTGTTTCAGCTCCACACCCAATGTGGAGCCCAACACAGGGCTTGAACTCATGACCCTGAAATCAAGACCCAAGCTGAGATCGAGAGTCAGACACTCAACCGACTGAGCCACCCAGGCGCCCCTGCCTCCCCTTAATTCCTTAAGTGTCAGGAAGGAACACCAGCAAATTATTACGTTAACCTATGCTAGCCATGTAAAATAAATTTGAAAATTTAGATCTGTCACTCAAGAATCCATAATATACTCCAAAACCATATAGTCACTCTATTAGACTGGATTCTTCCAGAAAAAAAAAAAAAAAGATTCTGTGACTCAAGCTTACTTATTAGGGTGTGCAATCCTAGAGAACAAGAGTAAGGGACGGGGGTGGGGGGTGAGGCAGGGAGGAAAGGAGAACCAATAATAGAAACGGTCATCCCTCCTCATCTGCAACTGATTACTGGATCTCTTGGGACTGTTTTCCAAGGAGCCACAGAACTGGCCTCAGCCTAGTCCATCTGAGAGGGGAGAAGATGGGAGTTTGCCCATCAGCACCTGTCTCCCAGTGGTCAAAAGTTTAGTCGAGGGGGTGTTAACTCCCCCCACATCTCCAGGCTGTACGTGCTGGGGCACCTGGAGAGGTCGTACAGCATCCCGTGCCTCGGCCTCAACAGGGAAGAGCCGAGGTAAGAGGGAGAGGCCCGTAGTGCAGATACGAGCCCAGGCAATTCAAGGCTGCACCCGTGTGAGGTCAGGGGAAGTCAAGGCAGAGCTGACGGCCTCAGTGCTGGGAAAGGACACCCATGAGGCTGAGAGGAAGGAAGGTGGCACACAGGAGGCCACCTATTATAGTCCCTCGCCTTCAAACTTTCCAGGGTCTAACCGTACCCACAAGTGAGCGTTTCTGTTGTACGTGGCTGAGCAGGGAGGGAAGGGGGAAGGGATCTCCTAGTCAGCGTGTTCCTGGGCTGCTCTAGAGACAGAAATAGGCCCAAGGGCAGAGCCCGCGTCTCTGAACTCAGTGGGTCTCGGCTAGCCAGCCCTGAACCATGCTACTTCCGGTGGTCGAGATCGCATAAAAGAAACCAAGGGAAAGCACAGTAGTTAAAAAATACCGACTAAGATGGCAGGACTAAGCCAAAGATACCCAAAATCAGCGTGAATGTGAAGTGGGGTTAATGGCAGATTTTCAGGCTGGAGTGAAAAATAGAATTGTATGCTGTTGACAAGAGAGGTACCTAAAATAAAATTACACCAGGAGGCTAAAATACAGGGATATAAAAAGATTTTTAGGTAAACGCTAACAAAAAGAAGCTGGTGAAGCAATCTTAATCTCACACAAAATAGAATCCAAGACAAAAAGCATTGTAAGAAACAAAGAACAACACTTCCTGTGAATAAGGGAGACTGCACAGGAAAGTCAAGAGAATGCGGGCCACCAGAACGCTCATCCTTGCCAACACATAATGTCTTTGGCATGGAGCCACCTTAAGGGACCCAATTTCATTCTCCTGTGTTAATATATACCCACCTTGGCCAGCTTCAAGTGTGCTCAGATAAATTGGATTCTATTAAAACCATGAACTTCTATTCAGCAAAACACACTGAGACAAAAACGCAAGTCAGAGTGGGAGAAGAAACCTGGAACTCTCACACACCGATGGTGGGAATTTAAATTTGCACATTTTAGAAAACGCACTTGGCAGTGTCGACTAAACCTGAACAGATGATCCAATAACTGCGCTCATAGGTATACATCCAGTGTTTGTGCGCATATTACCAAAAGATACGTATAAGCACATTCATTACAGTATTATACATAAGAGGCAAAAACTGGAAACTCGACTCGAATATCCATCAACAGTAAAACGGATGAAGATAGCAATATTCGCGCGATGGAATACGACACAGCATGTCGATGAACTGCTGTACAAAGAACACGGGTGAATCTCACAAAGTATTAAATGAAAAGACACAGAGGAGGGCACACTGGGAGCTTCTACTGATATAAAGTTCATGAACAGGCAAAATTCACTGTTAGAATTTGGGGGGGGATGGCGCCTTTGGAAAGGAGGAATGGTGCAGTAGAAGGCGGCATTAGGAGAGCTTCTGAGATGTGGATCGCGTCCTACGCATTGGTCCGTTGGGTGTTTAAACCGGTGGACACGCTTTGTGAAAATTCACCGCGAGGTTTTGGGGATTTCTCTGAATGTAGACTATACTCTAATAAACATTTTTTTTTTTTTTTAATTGCAGTCCAAGATTTAGTGAAAGCAGAATATCCAAACCTTCAGTTTTATGCCAAATCAAATATATTGCTGCCCTTTTGATGCCTTATTAAGAATTGTATCTTGCTTTCTACGCTTAGCTCGAGGCTCCCAAGCTTCTCTCCATGAACGCCCCCTGCTTAGATCTGACCTTCACATGAGTGAGTAGTTTCATGTACTTTTTAGAAATGCATGTGAACTGACGCTATTTCTTTTGATGTGGCTTTCTTTCAGATGTAACGTGCAACATTAAGAATGGCAGGTGCAAGCAGTTTTGTAAATTGGATGCTGATAACAAGGTGGTTTGTTCCTGTACTACCGGATATCAACTTGCGGAGGACCAAAAGTCCTGTGAACCAGCAGGTCAAAATCTAAATAAGCGTTGTTGTTGTCTGCAAGCTAGGGGGATGCATTCTCCAAATCTCTATTTGAACCTTCAGCATTTTAACTGGCCTATGTACTTTCATAATCTCTACTTGTTTCTTTTTTTAAATAATTCTGGTGTTTTGTTAATTATAGGTGGACTCTTTTCCTGATATATTTTTTAATGTTCATTTTTATTTGTGGGAGAGGGAGAGAGCGCGTGCACGCATGAGCGGGGAGGGGGGTGCAGAGAGCAGTGGGGACCGAGAGATCTGAACCTGGCTCCACGCTGACAGCAGAGAGCCCGATGTGGGGGCCTGAACTCACAAACCGTGAGATCATGACCTGAGCCGAGGTCTGACGCTCAACCGACTGAGCCACCCAGGCTCCCCTCTCCTTTGAGATCACAGAAGAGATTAGTAGCTGGGACAATTTTCCAAATTGCATAGTCATTTTAAATAGAAATTCTATGGCTGTATTCAGTCTGAATTCTTCACTGTGCCCACTTTTTTCCTGACTTCTATATCATGAAGCAATCAATTTATATGATTTCTATAGATCTGTAATTAACCAAGTCAAATTAATATAGTAATCCCAGACCACAAAAAGGTACACAAATGATGGACCGATAGGCTTCTAGCACAGGGAATGGGGAATGTAACGCAGGACTCTGCCAGGGTGTGGCTGGCTTACTCTGAGAAAGTCATTTCCCATCCTCGGGTCTCGAGCGGAGTTGACGCGCTTGACATCAGAATGGTTCTGACGACCATCTGTTTCAAGTTGTGCCAGGCTGACTCACACGGTCCATCTCCACAGCAGTGAACAAAACAATGTTTCCCAGTCATGTCGACCGGGCCACCACGCTGACAGCTGACTGGTGGTACTCAGAACGTCTCCACTCCACGCTCATATTGCTATCCTCTGAAAATGAAAGCAAGAGGAACTCTGATTAAAGAAAAAATAAAAAAAAAAGTAGGCTCCGCAGGATCAATTATAGTTGATAAATGAGGGGCCTTTTTGAAGCAAACTAGATATAATTTCTTTTGCATTTTCAAAGCCTGATATTAAATTGGTACATTAAATCATGCACCAATACACTATAACTGTGTTCGATACCTATCTCACCAAAGCACCCGGCAGAGGAAATTAAAGAAACGACCAGAAGCCAAGGGTATACATGCTGTTGCAACTAAAACGAAGGGCAGTCTCTAATGCTTCAGGGACCTACCCACCTGTCTTCTGCCTGGTTCTTCACATACAGTGCTTCACGGCTAGCTCACCTCCAGAGGAGAGTATCTCTATGTTTTAACCTTCAAATCTGAAGTCGTTTTAAAAATAAAATGATTTATATTCGGGGGGGGGGGAAAAAGCCTTCAAAATCTAACTTCCAGTGTAGACAGATGGCATAGTAGCTAAACCCTTATAAGCCCTTCCACGTTAGAAGGAAAAAAAGAATTGAGAACCACCTCTTACTATTCAGTGTTATATTTGATTATAGCCTTATCTTTAGCAAAGTAGGCCAAACCTAAAATGAGCTTTTCTGCCTTTCAATAGTAATGGTCCTTTTTCTCCAGCCATTGTTGATTTATATTTATACATAAGTATTTTGAACTAATTTCCTGTTTTCCCAACCACATGCTGTCTTCATGATACTTTGCTACAGCTGGTTGCTATAGAAATGTCTGTTATAAGGAATGTGGCTAGAAGGAACGTGAGAAATGAAAATCAAATGTGAGGTGACTTTGCTTGACTACAGATTTCCATTCTGGTTGTCCCCAATGTATCAGTACACGATTTCCTGTCTTTAGGAAATAAACTGACCCAAGGTAAAAGGGTGGCTAGGTCCCAGGTGGATGTGGCTGCGATAATCATATTAGCAATTTATTTGTTTAAAGTTTTTTTTTTTTTTTTCAGTTTAAGTCATCTCTACACCCATTGTGGGCTCAAGCTCATGACCCCGAGATCAAGGGTCACATGCCCTTCCGACTGAGCCAAGCAGGTGCCCCAGCAATTTATTTGGTTAATGCTTAACCAAGCCAGATAATTAAATCATGATTTCTTCCCAGCAGATCCTTAAATCCACCTTGGAGTCTAGAAGGCATTCTAGTCTACAAAAGAAATCCTGTTCACAAAAAGCAGCGGAGGTCCCAAGTACCTAATTCTAAAGTTAAAGTTCCATGGCACCACTCAGAATTCGATTTAGGGACAGGCCTTGGGACTAAGACTTTTTAGAAAAGAAACCCAACAGAAAGTCATGAGACTTTATAAAACTCTCACAAAATTGGATTCTGGAACACCTATTCTATTTCCGTAAAGATGATGGATTCCTGAGCCAAATGTTCTTTTCATGAAGGGTTTGAAAACTTTCCATGAAAATAATGCAATTAACCTTTTAGTTTGAGACTATATTCATTGATTAGATTTTTTTAAATATTGATGGGCCTGCTTCTCAGAAGTGACAAGGATGGGCCTCATTCTCGATTTCTGTAATACACGCTCTGCTTGCCAATGAGAAATATCAGAACACTGATTTTTTTTTTCCATTTTTCTAGTGCCATTTCCATGCGGAAGAGTTTCTGTCCCACACATTTCTACGACGCACACCCGCGCTGAAACTCTTTTTCTCAATACGGACTATGAAAATTCCACTACGGACTATGAAAACTCCGCTGAAGCTGAAAAAAATGTGGATAACGTCACCCAACCATTGAACGACTTGACTCGAATTGTTGGTGGAAAAACCGCCAAACCAGGTCAATTCCCTTGGCAGGTACTCTATATTAATGGTGTGTCACAACTGGAGCCCAGAGGGCAAGGGACAGGCCAGGTGGGGGCTCACGTTAGGACACCAGACAGGTCTACTGGGGTGAGGGAAGCGTTTGGGCAAGTTTCAGTGCTAAGCAATATGAAGAAGCCCTCACTGGTGGGGAGCTAGTGAATGCAAAGTCCAGGGACAGCTACCACACAAGGTCAAGGAGAGTCTGACATCATGGAAATAGCATAGCAGCATTCCAGACATGCAACAAGGTCTGGGAGTGAGGTCGTGCGCCTTGGGGTTCAGGGTGCTACTTCCGCTCGTGGGAGAAGTGGCGAGAGAAAGTCTCTAGGTCTAGAGACACTGATTTCGAAGGCATTTTTAAAAGGACTGACGTAGGAAGGAGTAAGGCAAGAACTGAGTTACTGGAACTAGGGTATGTGACAGGGGCTTGGTCGAAGCCTCAAAGTGTGCCAGCATCAGAATCACATGAAAACTTGTTAGCAGTTTTCTGTGCCAGCACAGAATCACCTGTGCACATTTCTGGGGCAACGTCCAACAGTTAAGATTTGTAGCAAAACTTGCAATTGACCCTACAGCTAAAGCCTAAGTGATTCCATCTGAGAGAAGTAGCCCCACCCCCCACCCCCTCCACCCCACCCCACCCCACCCCACCCCAGAAGCAAGGAGCCAGGCTGGCCCTTATATAAAGTTGTGCTGTCCAATAACATAACTACTAACCACATGTAGCTATTGAACTCTAAACACCATTAAGTAATGTGCTCGCTTCGGCAGCACATATACTAAACACCATTAAGTAAAATTAAAAATTCATCTCAGTCACAACTGCCACATTTCAAGTGCACTATAGCCACACGTGGCTGGCCTGTGCTGGACAGCACAGATACAGACCATTTCCATCATTATGGAAAGTTCTATCGGACATGGCTTATAATAGTTTAGTCTAAAAACTCCCTAGTAGCCACAATTATATGCTTCTGTGGCTATTTCAAGGATGCTTCACTCCAAAATATTTTCTCTGCTGAGGTTGGAACTTTTGCCATCAGGAACCAGTAGCTTCAAAGGCTTTTCAATCATCAAACCGGTTAACAGTTTAAGCCACGATCACGTAATCATCCCAGGTTTAACACCACTGGAGTTTTCTAAGACTATGTACCTATTCAGGATTCTTCAGCATTTTCCAATATGATGGGTGTAATATATTGAACATATACCTGGGAGGCAGGTATTGGACAGACATTGCAGACGATGGTACTGAAGGGTGGTAGACCATCACGACCAAGACTATATTTTCTGTTCTTTTACCTTGGCTTTGCTTTTAAGAATATCTATTGGACTTGATCTTACAGTCAATAAAATACACTGCATGTTCCTTTACACCCCCTCTACCCCCAATTTAGGCCTCCTACCACTATCTCTTCCCTTATCCACTTCTTTACCGTCCTTCATGACTCTTCATAAGACTGACCTTCTACATTGACCTTTCCTTGAACAACCCCTATTGGATCCAGCAACTCTAATCATGCTTTCATTCTATTTAATGTCCATGGATCTAAATCTATCTAATTTTACTATTTGTGTTCTTGTGCATTCTCTTTCTCAATATGTATCCAACTTCCATGGATAGGTGGTTGGAACAAAAGACCCTACTTTATAATAATGATCTTCCTTGGGGTTGTGGGACATAAGGCAGTCCCTAGGCTGGAGGACCCACAAACCCAGGGGTGTTTTATTAGCGCCAAGATGACTATTCTTTTTTTTTTTTTCAATTTTTTTAATGATTGTTTATTTTTGAGAGAGACAGAGACAGAGAGTGAGTGGGGGAGAGGCAGAGAGAGAGAGGGAGACACAGAATCCGAAGCAGGCTCCAGGCTCTGAGCTATCAGCAAAGAGCCCAACACGGGGCTCAAACCCACGAACTGTGACATCATGACCTGAGCTGAAGTTAGACACTTAACCGGCTGAGCCACCCAGGTGCCCCCCCAAATGACTATTTTTAAAAAAAAAAAAAAAAAAAAAAAAGATTTTAAAAAAAGGATAAAAAAGTATGTCTCAGGATGCACACATTGTGAGCGAGCTTAGCATTGTCCCCTTGTCAACCCAGAAGTGAAATTGCCAAACACGTTTAAATAAGAGCTAAGGGGGGGGGGGGGGATGTAACACAGTGTCAATTTAGTCACATAATCTCTCCATTCTCCACCCACCCCCCTTAAACCAGATGCTTGCCAAGATTTTATCAATGCAAGTCTTTCCTAATAGAAATTTTAGTTGCTCTCGCTATTTTTTTAAGCAGAACAAACTATTAGATGATGGCTGTGAGGAACAAGGTATGATACACATCATCTCAAATCTTTTCATACCCTCCTCATCGCACACTTACATAGTTAGTATACCTGTTGACTCTTTCCTATCAAGCCTAGCTAAGCTCATCTGGAAAGTTCAAGATCACTCATGCACATGGTCACTCCTGTGTCATCCATATGAAGTAGGACTGCAGACCGGAGAGGCACAAAGCACTAAGTTTCAGCCTTTTCCAAAGGTGAAAAACTGAGCTACTCCGCAGCATAGCCAAACAAGACCCCAAAACACCCCTGCATTGGTTCCTTTTCACCCGAGAGCACCCTCGCCACACCCACCTCCACCCAGTTTCTCACAAAAGGCTACCGGTTTTCAAAACCAGGAGGTAAACTGAGGGTCCCAAAGTCACTTGCAGACAAAGACCAAGCAGGAAATGCAACGAATCGGACTCTCTGGCGTGTGGACGCGCCAGCTCCACGGCGCGGCTAATCCGCAAGGTGGAAACGCTTGACTTGCTTGCACGCAAGACCGCAAACACACCTGCTGCCGCCGAGGCCTCAGGAGAAAGCAAGCAACAGCTGGGGTTTCAGTGGCCACAACAGTAGATCTAGGGCTCTGAGATACGAAACAGTTTCGCGATCTCACCTAGACAGGATTCCACATTCCCATGCTTCAGAAAAGGGGGCTGGGGGAGATAAAAAACGACCACTTGGGTGAACGCATCGCGCAAAGAAGAACGTAGGGAGGTCACTTTCATCTGGAGTAACGAATGGCGGGAACAAGCTGGAAAGGTTTCGTTGGCTAAGGAAAAGGTTTAAGTTGGCGGTCTGCAAGCGCTAAGGGGCCACAGAGGAAAGGGAAAGACAGCTTTTTCTTTGAGGGCTTACGGGTGAATCTCCCAGGCAGGCGGGCAGGCGGATTCTGACGCTGGGTTAAGAAAGCCCTTTCCAACCAGTGTCGGTGCCGTGGGCTGAGCAGCTCCGGGAGGAAACGTCGGTTGAACAAATGTTTGTTGAATTGTTAACTGCTAAACCGGCTGGGAGAGCGTTGAGGGCCTTGGCTCGCCCGGTGGGGGGATTAGAGCAGGACAGGGGACCGCTGCCACCCCATCCAGGCTTGAGCCCCTAAGAGGTGAGCTTCACCTTCCCCGTAGCTCGTGCGGGGCCGCGTCGGGTTCTTACCTTTATTCGAGGGCTTTCACTTCAGCTTCCGAGCGAGAGGCGAAGCTGCACGGAACGTGCCCCCTGCGCCTGGCGCTTCCCAGAAGCCCCTCCGGCTCTGGAGGCGCAGCCAGCCCCGCCCCCACCCAAGGCCAATGGCGCAGACTGAGTGCGGGACCTCTAAACTCGCTGCGGTGGGAGACGCGAGGCCCTGAGCTCGGAGAGGAAGCTAGAAGGTCAAGTGCACTATATGGGAACAGAAAGGATGTTTCCTAGCGTCACTGTATCCTTAGAGTGGAGAACTAAAACAAGACTCCAATTTCCTACAGCTGCAGAGGGAAGCCATGAAAACCTTTGAACGTTAGAGAAAAAAGGGGAAATACTACGAGATCACCCTCATCAACAGCTTAAAAGAGAGATTTGAGAGAAAGCAACACTACGTTTCTGCTTTCTAAAGCTTTACTTTGGTTTGGGTCCCACGCCCTTGACCCTGTCAGCCAAGTCTGAGCCCCAGCAAAATTGCCCCAAGAGCCCCTCTCACCTCTTCCGCTTTGGGCCTTGAATGTGAAGTACCTGGTCTATTTTCTGTTTTATCATGGGCCTCAGCTCTGTAGTAGTCATATTTATTCCCTTTTTTAAAGATCATTTATTTTGAGAGAGAGAGCAAGACGGGGAGGAGAAGAGAGAGAGAGACAGGGAGAGAGAGAATCCCAAGCAGGCTCTGTGCTGTCAGTGCTCAGAGCCCCGGAGGGCTCCAACTCATGAACTGAGATGATGACCTGAGCCGAAACCAAGAGTCTGTCGCCCAACCAACTGAGCCACCCAGGCACCCGAGCCATATTTATTCAACATTTAATAATTGGGAAATCTTTCTACCAAACTGAAAAAAAATGGAATACAGTGGGCACCAAGTGACCTTTGTATTAGGTTGTTTCATATGCAATTGCCAATATTCAACCGTTTCAACCAGCAAAATGTCTTAGAAACACTGTCTTTTCTTTCTTCTGCTCTTGGCCTAAACGATCTTTAAACCGTCTTCGCATTTTCCCCAGTCTCGGCTTTCCTCAGCTTAACCTGAAGCTGTCCTTAAAGGTACCCGAGCTCTTGACCTGTGCAGCTACCTACACGCACCCAATGCTTTCCATTTGATTAGGACCCACGCCCGTGACAGCATGCAGTTACCATATGCATGAATCAGAACTTTCTCTTTCTTTCTTTCTTTTTTTTTTTATTGGAAGAGGGGAG